ATAAATTGAACCCAGTAAGAGATTAACAATGATAATAAGAAAATGGAATCATTACAACAATATACTGTTCACCATTTCATCGTTAGAAGATTCACTTTTAAACCAAATCTCAGCAACCTCAGCATAAAATTTTTTTTTTTTTTTCTTTTTCTTACTGGCTTGAGAACTTTCACCTTTTCACATAAAGGAAGGCCTTTGCGGCTTCTCCTTGGCAGATCCAAATGGCTAGCATCCTTGTCCTTGCTCTTTGGGGTCATTATTAAGTGAAATAAGGGTGACTTGAACACCAGTATTGTGATGCCATGACAATAGATCTGAGCGCCCAGGTGGCTAAGTGACTAAGGGTGGGTGGTGTCTGCAGCGTGGAAATGCTGGACAGAGGGAGGATTCCCATCCTGGATGGATCTATGGAAGATTTCATCATGCTACTCAGAAGAGTATGCAACTTAAAGCCTTAGGAATTATTTCTAGAATTTCCCATTTAATCTTTTCAGTCAACCATGGGTAACTCAACCTGTGGAAAGTGAAACCGTGGATATGGGGGGTTGACTATAGCATCAAGAGACACGAGTGAACTCCTTCAGTGGGCTGCCTCAGGGGATTTCATTCAACCTGCCCTTAGCTTTCCTTGTTCTCTAAAGTCTCAGCTTAGCTCACAGCTTTAACCTTCTCCTTTGTGGGTCTGAGCACAAACCTGCTTTCTCACTCACCTCCTGGATCCCATGATTCCAGGGCTAGGTTCAGGAGGTACAGAGCAGAGATGACCTTCCCTCCCTAGTCTCTTCTTTTAGGATTGTTTATTTCTAATAAAGGTGGGGAAACTTTTCTTCTTTGATTGACTATAATTTTAGGGTTATGCAAATGCATAATCCATTGGAAAAGGTTTTATTAGGCTTGGCTTCTGAAGAATATAAAATATTGAACTTGTCCATTAAAGACAGAACAATCTTGATTCAATGAGTATCAAGTAATGAAATAATATTTTAGTTCCATCTCAGCCAGTTGTTACGAAAAGGTCAGGAAAGAGGAGGAGAAGAGAAATAGAAAGGGCCTTGAGGGAATGAAGGAGGCAGAGAGGTCTAAAAGAGAGCTGAAAGGGGAAAAAAGGAGAGAGGGAAAGAGAAAGTGAGGGGATTTACCAAAGATAAATTAGCTTTTATTTCCTCCTTTACTTGTAGATATGGGGAGCGTGAAGCTCATAGAAACTGAGGACTCTGGTCAGGGTCACAGAGACGGGGACCTGCGTTTTCCCCCTTATACTACATTAAGAAACCACTATTGGTCAAGCTTGGTGGCTCATACCTGTAACCTCAGAATTTTGGGAGGCCAAAGTGGGAGGATCGCTTGAGCCCAGGAGTTCGATACCAGCTTGGGCAACATATAGAGACCCAGTCTCTATCAAAAATAAAAATATTAGCCAGGCACAGTGGCATGTGCCTGTACTCCTAGCTACTCAGGAGGTAGAGGCAGGAGGATTGCTTGAGTTCAGAAGTTTGAGGCTGCTGAGCTCTGATCTGATCTGAGTGAGCTCTGATCGCTTCACTACACTCCATCCAGCCTAGGCAACAGAGCAAGACTCCATCTCAAAGAAGAGAAAAAAAAAGAAACCAGTATTTAGAACTTTTCAAATCCTTGGGCGGGGGGGAAAAACAACAAAAACTCAGTGCAACCACCACCAGCAATAAATAACAAAACTCTCTACTAACCCTTGTCTAAGACTCCTGCTTGCTGGAAATGATGCTGGGGGTTGTGATCCTGGGCGGAGAATGTCTCCTGTATTGCTGAAGCTGATGGCTTCCTGTGTGGCATTGAGCACGACTATGCTATATTGAGTTTGTATTGAATTGTACCCTAGATCATTGCTCAAGGTACTCTACCCATCTGTCTTATTCAATAATATAATCATTCATTCTTTCCATAACTATTATCTATCACATACCAGGCATAATGGGGATTCCAAATAACACGGGAGTAGTCATTGCCCTGAAAGCGTGTAGGACAGTTATGAGGGAAGTGATGCTGCTGTACTAAGTATTGTGGAAGACGAGGGGGAGAAGAGACTAAGTCTGAGGAGAGAAGGGCTATTGGGGCAGAATTGGGTGGAGGAAGGGCTCATTTGGCGGTGGTCTGGGATTGTTGACTAGACCCCCTCATGGATACATTGGTACTAAGGAGCCAATTGACTTAGATTTCCATGTATAAAGTCCTTACATAGATGGCTGAAGATAATTTAGTCTCTTGTCTATCCCGGCCCGCGGGATCGTCGAAGCAGGCCCTGGAGGAGGGAGTGGGAATTTGGGGAACAAGAGACACGAGAAATGGAGACAAGACAGTGCTCTGATCAAGTCTCGTTTAATGGCAGTAATGCAGTGCCTTATATACACTTGGAGAGGAAGGGGTTGGGCCAAGGCGGAAATGATCTCATTTCAGAGGGCGCGGCCAGGCAGGTTTCGGTTTCAACGGTCGGTCGTCATGTTGCGCCTGCGCTAGGAAGTAACCATTTTGCTACGAAGTAACAATTTTCGCGCGCGCGGGAAAGATGGGTGAAGAAGAAGCAGGAAGAGCGCCATCTTGTGTGAGGTATTTAATACAGGGAAAAAGACAAATCTGGGAAGGAGGTGAGAGGTGGAAATGAATAGAGCTCAGGCATCTAATCGTCAATAATTACTCGCTATGGCCGGGGCGCGCAGCTCCGGACACTTGTCAAAGTAGACTTTTGTCATCAGGCAGAAGCCTTTAGCTCTCGCTTGCACCCATATCTTTTAGCCCAGCTTTTTGAGATCTGGGCAGTGAGAGGGAGTAGGAGGGTCCTTGTTAAGTCCTCACTGATTTGTGTCATCCTCTAATAGAAGCTTTGGGTCTCTTCTGATTGCAGATACTTTAACTCAACAGTGGCACCCCTCCTTGTAATATTTCTAAATATTATGCAGTTAAGTGTTCAGCCTGTGGAACAGAGTTACCATTCTCACTTTCCTTAATTTTTTAACTTTCTGGAGCCAGTTTTATTCCCTGATTAGAAAAAAAAACTCTTTAGTCCAAAAAGACACCAGTGCATTTTACTTAGAAGTCCTTGCTGAAATATACTGTATGATGTTCCGCTGGAAGGCAGGTCTCAGGCATGCAGAAATCATCTCAGGCATGTCTGGGAAACCCACCTAAGTTGAAGCTGGGCTGGTTAGGTTACAGTCTTCTGGACACATCTTGGAGGAGGTGGGGAGAAAGAGGTGAGTTGATGAGTTCTTGCCATTGGGTTCATTAGATTTGCTAGTTTGGATCACCAGGAGGTTTCTGGATTCCGGAACTTAACTTGGGTACCCCCACAATGTGGGCTCCAATCTTAGGGGACATTGAAAGCCCACCATTTAACTGCAGGCAGAAGCCACCAGGCAGTGGGTTCCCCATGGGAAGGGCTTCCTAGATTAGACAATCCCCATAGTAAAACATGCCTATTAAAGGTGACACATGGCCAGACAAGACAGCCAAGATGAAAGAAGTTTGTGTACTTGAGTAATTACATCTATCAAAGTTGTTAGAGGTTTCCTAATAGGGCACAGGCACAAATATGTTTCTTTTTGTTTTTTTAGACAAAGTCTTGCTCTTCTGCTCAGGCTGAAGGGCAGTGGCGATCACAGCTCACTGCAGCCTTGACCACCTGAGCTTAGTCCATCCTCCTACCTCAGCCTCTGGAATAGCTGGGATCACAGGCACACACCACTACACCTGGCTAAATTTTAATTATTTTATTTTTTATTTATATATTTTATTTTTTTTTGAGATAGTCTCATTCTCTTGCCCAGGCTGGAGTGCAGTGGCATCAATCTGCCTCCCAGGCTCAAGTGATTCTTGTGCCTCAGCCTCCCGAGTAGCTGGAACTACAGGCGTATGTCACCACACCTCACTAATTTTTATATTTTCTTAGTAGAGATGGGGTTTTGCCAGACTGGTCTCGAGGCCTCAAGTGATCCGCCCACCTCAGCCACCCAAAGTGCTGGGGTTACAGGCATGAGCCCCTGCCCAGACTTTTTCTTTTTAAACTTTTAGTAGAGATGGGGATCTCACTATGTTGTGTAGGCTGGTCTCAAACTCCAGGGCTCAAGCCACTCTCCCTCCTCAGGCCCCCAAAGCTCTGGAGTTACAGGTGTGAGCCACTATGCCTGGTGCATGTTAATTATTATCATTTAAATGGTTCCTCATGGATGATGACCATTTTGATTTTTCTTTTTTTTTTTTTTTAGTAAAAAGGATCTCAAAGTATTTGAATAAGTTCTTTCTGTCCTCTGCAAGACTACTATTTTTTCCTTTTATAACTAATAAATAATTTGTACCTAGATAATTTTAGATTATGTAAATGTCCCATCAAACTTTCACTGACTGATTTTAGCTTCCGTTGAAAATGTTTTCTAACCCCATCATTCTTTATCTGAGAGCTTTTTCCTTCTTCCCCCATTTATGTCTCAGTAAGGATTCGTGGATTCTTTCGTTATTCAGTGGGTTAGAATTCATTGCTGTCATGATTTATTTGGATGCTCCCATTATCACAGACTCGTCTAGTGGGACCCCGTCCTCTGTTCTTTGGGCCCTTCCTCTTGATTCCTTGAATGTTTCCTGATCTTACGGTATCTCATGGCCCCTCTTGTACTTTTTCTGCCCCAGCCTTGGAATCATCTATTTCTTCAAGAAGCCCTGGTTCCTTTTAGAGAATAATGGTATTGGAAACCAAGATCTGGGCACCAGCTCTCAGCTACTGGTGTGTCATTGCTTTTGGGGCCCCTCTGTGGTTAAAGCTAGGGACTGTGTGTGTGTGTGTGTGTGTGTGCGCGTGCATGTGCACACATGTTAATTTTTCTCTTTCTCTAGCTCTATATATTCATATCTCTCTGTCTACATAGAGCTATATGTATTTTAGAGGTAAGTTTAAGCCAAACCCACGGAGGTAGGAGTCTACTTAAGCACGGATGTGTAATTCCGGGTGTATGTCTCTTCTTTTCTCTTGTTGACAGGTGGCTCAATCCCTTGTTTAAGATTGGCCATAAACGGAGATTAGAGGAAGATGATATGTATTCAGTGCTGCCAGAAGACCGCTCACAGCACCTTGGAGAGGAGTTGCAAGGGTAAGTGGGAGGCAGTAAAGTGGGCATTAAGGAAGTGTGGGTGTCTGTGTGTGGGGAGTGGGTTTTGCCTTCCTGAGTCCCGTCTGGAGCCTCTGTATACCCTTGAGGTGAATGTGTGTCACCTTCTTCAGGCTGCCCCTAGGCTTAGCCTACCATGGTGGCCTGGGGGAAACTCCTGAACTTCTGGATTCTGGAACTTAACTTGGGTACCCCTGCAATGTGTGCTCCAGTCTTACAGGGCATTGAAAGCCCACCATTTAACTGCAGGCAAAAGCCACCAGGCAATGGGTTCCCCATGGGAAGGGCCTCTGTAAAGGTTGGGGGAGCCAGCATCAAAGGCCCGAGATGCCTGAGATCTGTCCCTGGAGGTGGAAGTGGTGTGGCTGGAGGAGGCTGTCTGGCTTATCTGTGCTCTGATGGTGCTTCAATCCAGCAAAGCTTGGCAGTAACTTGTTTCCCCAGACATCCCCTCAAAGCCTGTTTTTCTGATGCTACAGATTCTATACCACACATACCCTTCAGGAGCCCTGGGATCAATTAGCAGCATTTATGAGATAGTCACAAAATGCCCTGTCTTAAATGCCTACCTGTCACTCTGCCACCTCCCCGGTTTTATATTGTGGCAGGGTACATTGTTATTTACAAAGCTTTTTCCTCATTGTAGGTTCTGGGATAAAGAAGTTTTAAGAGCTGAGAATGACGCACAGAAGCCTTCTTTAACAAGAGCAATCATAAAGTGTTACTGGAAATCTTATTTAGTTTTGGGAATTTTTACATTAATTGAGGTAAAAGCTTTTACATACCGTGAATTGTTTTTCAGGACACATAGAGTAAACGTGCTCGCCATTGATGGTGCCGTAATGGATGGGGGAACAGAAGGGAGAAGTGGCCAGATGGGGTTTGAAGGTATTTTAAGGTCTAAGGATTAAACGTGTCTAGGAAGAATTAGGTAGTTAGTTCAGTGAGCGTATTTATCCGAGCGAATACTTAAGTGACTAAAACTCAAGGTCATTACTGTTTTTCTTGTAACCAATTAAAATGCAGTGTCATGGAAGAAGAGCATTTTATTCTATGGTAGGACAATGCTGGTGCTCAGTAAATGTTTTAAATGCTGAGTCACTCCTGATCCAAAGAGGATCCTACAGCCTCGAGGAGCGCGTGCCCTGTGGTTTGGAGGAAGTGATTTTTGATCAGAGCCCAGAATAATGTAAGACACTTTACAGGTGCTCAACAAATAATTGTTCACCAAGCCAAATCTGATAAATGCTCTCCTGGAGAGGTATTGTCACCTCTCCCCTCTCAGGGAAACAGAGCTGAGGGCCTTGCCCCTGGGTTGGCGGTGGTGCCCCAGAGGCTGGAGCTGGCTGAAGCACCCAAGAGCTACCCCCTCCCAATGGGCCCAGGTGCTAGGAGCCAAAACCCCCTCTGGGAAGAAGGTCTGAGGACTGTGCTTCCCAGGGGATTCATCACACCTGTCCGGTGTGTCTTCCTTGCTGTCGGAGTGGATTGCCAGTTGGAAGGTAGAGTCTTGGTGCCTGGCCCTGCAGAGAGTGGATAAACGGACAGTCCGTGAAAAATCAAAGGCAGAAAGCCGGAAGGGCATTGACCTCTGTTACCCCAAAGGGCCTCTTTCGAGATCCTGCAGCAAGGCAGTGTTCTGCCTAGGCACACTGCCAGGTAGCCTGTCTGTTCTGGTCTGCAGCCTGCTAGAGGGGATGCAGAGAGTCCTGCTTGGTGACTTGTGTCCTCTGTGCTACCTTAGGGATGTCAGTGGTCCATGAAAGTAAGAGGGGTGGATGTTGCTGTTGCTACAAAAGGGTGGCTTTAAATGCGGGTTGGGGAGTTGTCACGGTTCATTTTGTTGGGAGTGAGGTGGGGGAGGTTGGTTTGTATGTGGGGGATGTAGCTCCTGTTGAACATGCTTTTTGTTGTGGAGGGCTTGGTGGGCAGTGGGAGGCAGGAAGGTGCGCTCTGCCCTACACCAGAGGAATCTGTCAGACAACAGGGGACTGGACGGTCCTGGGAGATGAATGGTCTCATTGGTGACAAAGGTGTGTTGGCCAGGGTGCCAGATGGTGAATGCCACCTTTGAGAGGGTACCCGCCCTGCCTGCATGCTGCTGTGGCTTTGTGGAGGATGGGGTGGACATGTAGAATAACTGGTGGAACTGACTTGAGGGTGGAAGAGGGCATAGGAGCCCCTCAGGTTCTCCCAGCCCCTCTTCAACCTGTGCCGGGGTGTCCCAGTGACGGTGTTTTCCCATGGCCCCAATCAATCTCAGTTGGAAAGAAACAGAATGACAAGTTGCTGTCAATGCGGCCAGCGTGTGCAGGATTTCCTGGCCCAGTTTGGCTGTGCAACCTCAGAGAAGTTATCTGGTAGCTGTGGAACCTCCGTAAGTGCCTGAGGCTCACACCAGGTGTCTGGTTAGGTGTAGTAGGAATGAGTGGCCTCACATAGGTTTTGAGGCAGGCCTCCCTCAGCTACTTCCATTTCTCTAGTTTCCCTTTGTTACCAGCTGCTTATGAAATTGAAAACAGGATGATCTAGAAGGAACTGAGCTTGTCATGCTCAGGGCTGTCCGTGCTGTCATGGACTGACAGCCGCTTGGGGTGGGGTCTCTAACCCACAGATGGTGACTAGACTACAGTGAGATTTGGGTAAGCTTTTGGGAGAAGCAGGCACAGAAGTAGAGGCTGTAGAAATGTGAATTTCTCCTGAGACTTGAGGACAGGCCCCACTCTGGTGCTGGGAGCATGGTCATCCTTACTGCTGGTGGGCATGTGGGAAGGGGCCTGGATCGAGGGGAACTTAATACAGGTACAGTTGGTGGAGAGCTGGTCTTTCTTTTAGCAGGGTGGTTGTTGGGCAGTCATGGCAGAAGAGTAGGGAGTGGAGGACCTGGCAAATATGGGGGCTCATGCTCAGTACTGCTTAGCAGCAGCAGTGCTAGTAGAAGCAGCAGCAGGATTAGTAGTGGTTGGTACTCAGTAGCAGTAGCAGCAGCAGTGCTAGTAGCAGTAGTTGTAATAATAGTGATGGTGAGTATTTGAAAAATGGTATGTACCAGGAACTGCTATGAATTCTTTTCTTTTCTCTTCTCTTCTCTTTTCTTTTTCTTTTTCTTTTCTTTTCTTTTTTTTTTTTTTTGAGATAGGATCTCACTCTGTTGCTAGGCTGGAATGCAGTGGTGCTATCTTGGCTCGCTGCAGCCTTGGCCTACTGGGCTCAAGCAATCCTCCCAAGTAGCTGGGATCACAGGTGTGTACCACCATGCCTGGTTAATTTTTGTATTTTTTGTTTCACTATATTGCCCAGGTTGGTCTTGAACTCCTGCGCTCAAATGATCCTCCCACCTTGGCCTCTCAAAGTGCTGGCATTACAGGCAGGAATCACCATGCTTAGTCAGAAGGCATTCTTTTACCCCTACTTTCGGGAAGAGGACACTGGGTGCCATGTAGTTATATAATGTGCCCAGGGCCACACAAAGTGTAAACGACAGAGCCCAGATTCAGTCTCAGGCACGCTGACTTAGATCCCTGACCATCTCCAGACTGTTGTAAAGAAGTCTTGAGAACTCTGTCTTCAGTGTCTCTAGCACATGCTTCTTGAACTTGGCCTGGGGGTAAGTCAGATGCTAAGAGCTCCCTGGAGCAGTGGGGCATGGCTGTGGGAAATGAGATTGGGGATTATAAATTACCCTAGGTTCCTAGGTCTCCTGGGGCCGGAAAGTCAGGTGACATGCTAGAGAGTGGCTGGTCAGAGCACCAAGGTACATTCAGGTTGACCAGGAACCCTTTTTTTTTTTTTTTTTTAATGTTTTTCTTTGAGGCGGGGTCTCACTCTGTCACTCAGGCTGGAGTGCAGTGGTGTGATCTCAGCTCACTGCAACCTCCATCTCCCTGGGCTCAAGTGGTCCTCCCATCTCAGCCTCCTGAGTAGCTGTAACTATAGGCATGCACCACGCGTGGCTTATTTTTTGTATTTTTAGTAGAGATGAGGTTTTACCATGTTGTCCAGGCCGGTCTAGAACTCCTGAGCTCAAGCCATCGACCCACCTCGCCCTCCCAAAGTAGTGGGATTACAGGCGCGAGCCACCGTGCCTGGCTGACCAAGAACCCCTTAGAAACCTGTCTCCCACTGAGTACTATCCTCCAAACGTATGAGGTGTGGCAGCCCTGCTTACCCAAGTTCATCAACATCCACGCTGTTAAGACACCGTTCCCAGTTGTCTCCTCCTCAGACAGACGAGGGGGAAGTTTGTGGTCTTGCATAGTCACGACATCGACTCATGGTTTGGGCAGATGTCAAGTTCCCTGTTTTTACTTATCAAAGGCTCTGGGTTTCCTGCATAGCAATGATAGCTCTGCAGTTTTAGAAGCCTTTGGCTTGAATCGTGAAGAGGGTGTGCAGTTTGCTTGGCAAGGATGAAGACCCCAGATCAGCCACTAGTATGGGGACAGGTCTTCTGTCCTGGTATCTGAACCCTCCCACTAGCAAGGTGGGCCCCAGGTATTAAGGCGGCAGGCTAAGGTGTTAAGATGGACCCACACAGTGCTGGCAACAGACACCTCTCATATAAAGTGGAGCCTGGGCTTTTCACAGGAGAGCACTTGTTGGTCCTGTGTTTACACCAATATCTTGGTGGTTTATGGTATAAAATTAGACAGTAGTCAGTTATTTTTTAGATGATCATGGTGACTCGTGGATGATGCTCATTTTAACTTTGTGTCTTTAATATAATAACTGGTAGAACTTTTAGTTCCGACGCAGTAAAGTTCAGGGAGCTAAAGCTCTTCCCAGTTCAACTCGAAGTAATCCTTGGATTTTTTTTTTCTTTTCCTTCTGGCAGTGAAAAGAGCCTGAATTCTAGTATAAATACTATTGTTTTCCCAGACTTGCCTATTGACACTGGGCTGTTTTGGAGAAGTTGGAAATAATTTCTTAAGATGAAGGTAGTGAGTGTAACATCTCAAAAGCATTTCAGGTGCTGTTTTGGGTTTTCAATCATTAAAGCTATTTATTGACCAGGCATGGTGGCTTATGCCTGTAATCCCAGCATTTTGGCATGCCAAGGGATGATTATTTGAACCCAGGAGTTCCTAGCTTTAGTGAGCTATGATTGCACCACTGCACTCCAGCATGGGTGACAAAGCAAGACCTTGTCTCTAAAAAAGAAAATTAGGCCAGGCGCGGTGGCTCATGCCTGTAATCCCAGCATTTTGGGTGGCCAAAATGGGTGGATCACAAGGTCAGGAGTTCGAGACCAGCCTGACCAACCTGGTGAAACCCCATCTCTATTAAAAATATAAAAATTAACTGGGTGTAGTAGTGGGTGCCTGTAATCCCAGCTACTCAGGAGGCTGAGGCAGGAGAATTGCTTGAACCTGGGAGGTGGAGGTTGCAGTGAGCTGAGATCATGCCACTGCACTTTAGCCTGGGTGACAGAGCAAGACTGTCTCAGAAAAAGAAAAAAAAAAGGAGTTACAACAAATGTTAGTTTCACAACTGATTTTATGAAGATGCTTTTCATTTTTTGGTCTTGTATCTGTGCCGCTTGTGGATCTTCGTATTTTAGATAGTGGAAGCTCTAAACTCAACCTAGCATTTTGTAAAAAGCTTCTGTGATCACATTCAGGCCTTTTTTAACCCACTTATGCCAGAGGTTGCCAATTTTTATGTGTGTGTGTCTGTGTGTGAAAAATCAGACCTTGGCGATGACCTTGAGCAGTAGAATATAAATAACTCCCACAAGCTTAGCGTTCCAGTAATGGAATGCTAGGCA